TATATCCATTAGTAAATTCTATTATAGCTTGTCCTTGAGGATTATATTCAATTCCAGTTATGTAATTAATCTTATTATTAATCTTATTATTCAGTTGTTAAAAATAAAACTCCAGTTAAATGGATGGAACCAGAGAAAATAATCCAAGTGAGGTAATAAAACCCAAAAGGACAAATGTAGCATGTTGCATGTGCTCTCTGATAAATAGATACTAGCTCCAGAACCTTAGATGTGCTTGTTTCCATTGGAAAATCCATAGAGATAAGGAAAGTGGGGGAGAGATAGAATGCAGTGATATGAAGGAGGAAGGGGGAATAATGGAATAAAAAGGGTTAAAGAGGGTTGGGAATGGGAGGGAAGAAATATGGTGAGAGATAACTAACACTAAAAGCTTTTAGAAAAAGCCGTATTGAAACCTACCACTGTAGAAGCTTTTTAAAGTACAAACATATGTATTATAAAATAAGATTAACATGAGTTTCCCTATAACAAGGTACATTGCCCTTAATAGACACCAGCTAGCAAAGTAAAAGTCCAATGCCAGGAGTGGACTCTCTCTTTCAAAGCTTTTGAATAAGGATCTCCTAGAACCTCAGACATATGACGCATTGTTCCTTCTCTTAGTTACCCATGAGACTCTATTGCTGAAGACACTACATACACGAGTTGTAGAAGAAGCAAACTTGTAATGTCTTCAAAGCTTCAGCTCTACTGGCCAGGTTTCAGCATACTGGAAAGTGCTATGTGTGCTTACTGCAAGAGAAAAGTAATCACCAACCTTATCCAACTGTGAACCCTATGAGCTACAACAATTGGCCTGGCAAGATAATCCCACTGATGTAACAGTGATACAAATGTCATAGGAGTAACCAATTCCTTTCTGAATGAATTTAAAATCTGCTTCACAAGTTGGAGCCCCTATCTCACATTGATACCAGGCATAGAAACCTGTGTCTATATGGGTCTCAGGCTACAGAGGAGAGCCTACTACTATTATTATGTTAATAGACATAGTATTAAAATGACTTCTAAAGACTTATTGTTATACTCATAGATTAATTCATCTCTCATTTCTCACCAAAAAAGCTTTCTCATGCAGCATATGGTGATTATCACAGAGACCCACAACTGGTCAACATGCAGTGAATAAGAGACTGCAGATTCCTTACCCATGAATAGAAAACATATATCAAACTTTTGCTTCCCAATACTCAGGGATCATTGTAGAAGAGGGGGCAAAAATTGTGAGAGTTAGAGGTGGTGGATAACCACAAGGAAACAGAGTTTTGCAGACAGCTGGGCAGTTGCTCATATGAATTGACAGCAATGGTGACACTATGTGCAAGACCCACTTATGATCTAGTTGGGCAGAATCCCAGCATGGAAGTGGAGAAGTGGGCAGGAAATTCCAGTCCTAGCTGAGGAATTATTGATAACTGGTGACTTCTGGCACCGGGAGAGTCAGTTCTCTTTGAGGTTGTGACACTGAATAAGTTGACCAGGCTCTAGTGGATGGACCTAAACTGAAGGGCACTTGGGGACACAGGTTTGACACAATAGACCTTCGTGTAAATTATAAATATAAATATGTATATTATCAGAGTACGTGAAATTAGATGATAGGTATTGAGGGGTGTGCAGATATGGGCTGGGGCCTAAAAATATGATCAAAACCTATTTGCAAGAATTCAATAAAAAATGAAAAAAATAACCACTTTTTAAAGCTCTTCAAAATATAAGTTGTGAAAAAGTGAAGCAGATATTATTGTTAATTATTTATAAATTTAATATACTTGATGCATATCAATGATCCTAATAATATATACTATTACTTTGTTTCACTTGGATTTTTTGTTCTATTTTGTTTTGGTTTTGAAAGAGGGTCTCCTTGTAACCCCAATTAGCTGCAACTTGCTATGTAGAGCAGGTGGGCTTCAATCTCACAAGAATCTCCCTTTCTATGCCACCTGAGCGAAAGGATTAAGAGCATGTACCACCGTGTGTGTGTGTGTGTGTGTGTGTGTGTGTGTGTGTGTATTAAGCATTTAAAAATTGGGCTTTTAAAGGAAGTCAAGCAAATTATGTACGTAGTTATCCAGTGTGTCATGCTGAGGGAAATAATAGACCATGATGTATAGGAGACATGCTTTGTTTTCTCTTTTTTCTCTAACAATGTTATGAATTCCTTGGAGATTTTGAGAACTCAGGCCAATTTGTCTAATTATGAGCTCTGTGCAAACATCTGCCAAGGTTATACAGTAGACTACCATCAGCCTTCAGTCTTCCTTCTGTCCTTGACCTTGATAGCACCTTTCTAATTTGCCACATGCCTGTCTCTGTTGCTACCTTGCTTGTGCATATCAAGGCCCCTCTTTCTGACCCTGTATTCATATCAGCCCTGAGGAACATGCCTAAACTTTCATTGTGCACCTTGTAGCAGTGTTTCCTTGGACTCAGAATCTTTGGTCATGGCCCTGCAGAGAAGGAGGTTACCTGAGTAAGTTATGAAGGTGATGTTGGATGGATGGAGAATGATCAGAAACGTTGTCTCATAATCATAAGATGGCTATGACAATACGGGCAGTCAGATGACGGTGGTAATGATCAGAGTCATGGTTGTATAAAATAACTTCTATTAAAAGTAGAGAGAAGGTATATATATATATATATGGGAGAGAGAGAATGAATGAATGTGTGTATAGTGGAGGTCAAAAGTCAATTTGCAGGAATTCATTCTCTCCTTCTAAAAAGTGGTTTCAGAGATCAAACTCAAATAATCTGTCTTGATGGTAAGCACCTTTACGGGCTGACCATCTCACTGTCACTCTCATTCAAGCTAATTTTTCCTTCAGTGTCTCTAAATCCAGTTAAACATCACTCACGTTAGCAAAAATTTGTCGCTTCAAGCAGTTTTCCACTAAAACCACTAGAGTTACGTGGGGTTGTGAGCCACCCTATGTGAAGGCTCAGCACCAAGTTCAGGTCCTGTGAAAGGGCACACTCTTAACCACTGAGCCATCTCTTGAGGCCATAATTCAAAGAAAGCCTATAAAGTAATTATGCCCATTTTACAGATGAGGAAATCTCTGGTGTTTATCTATCTTTCTGGGCACTGTTACTCTTTCTTATGATTTTCCAAATTAAGTGAAAGTGTAAGCTGTCAAACCATCATAAGTCCCCAAAACAATGACCCTTAGATATCTTCATGTATCTGCTGACAAAATTTGCACCTGTGTATTACAAATGATTCACATGAATTAAATTCTACTACAGAGATATAAGGGTTTTTTGTTTTTTTGTTTGTTTTCTTTTTTGTCTTTTTGAAGCAGGCTCTCCCTGTAGCCTCAGCTGTCCTGTAACTCACTATGTAGATCAGGCTGGCCTTGAACTCACAGGGATCTGCCTGCCTCTGCCTCCCAAGTGCTGGGACTACAGGCGTGCGCCACCATGCCTGGCTAGATATAAGGTCTTAAATGAAAATGTTCTTTGTGATCTTCCCTGTTGCTAAAGTCCTCCATTGCAAATCAAAGTGTTCATAAAATGCTAAGCAGCACTAATGGAACTTTATAGAATGCAAAGTCATTGGAGGTGGAACACAATACTGATTCTCACATGATATGTAAGAATGTCTGTGATTGATACATACAGACCTGGGTAACACATTTCAAGATTATTCCTTAGCATTTCAATAGTTTAAATTCATTGACAAGAATAGTATACAATGCCTCTTTTGCAGTCGCTGATGTCACTTGTTATGTATGTCTAATCAAAACATTTATCAAAAGCACATTTCCACATCCATTGACAAGGAAACACATTATTTGTTAAATAGGTGTTAAAGCAAAAACAACATTTGTGTGAATTTTTACACACTCAAATAAGTAATGATAAAATTCAAGAATAATGAAACACTTGCTCACATAAACTTGCAACAATAATAACAGCAAGCACAAGACCCACGCTGACTCAATCAGACAAAAACCCAGCATAGAACTGGGAAAATGGGCAGCAGGCCCCAACCTCAGTGAAAAAACTATTGGTAACTGATTATTGTTGGGTGAGGGAGAATAGATCTTTTTTTAAGGGAGTGACACTACACAGGCTGATTTAGACTCCAGTGGATGAACTTTCCCCCAAGAGATATCTGGATACAAATGCTTTATCTTAACATAGCATATATGCTACGATAGGCCTTAACATATATGACAGAATGCATGAAATCTGGTGGGGAGTCTATAGGGGCCACAGATGGGGAAGGGAGGTCTAAATTTTCTCTTTTTTTGGTCTTTTTGAGACAGGGTCTCCCTGTAGCTCCAGCTGTCCTGTATTCACTATGTAGACCAGGCTGGCCTTGAACTCACAGAGATCCGCCTGCCTCTGCCTCCCGAGTGCTGGGATTAAAGGCGTGAGCCACCATGCCTGGCAGGAGGACTAAATTTAACTAAGATATATTATATGAAATACACAAAAACTCAATAAAATATACATAAAATGAATAATGCACAAGACTCATTTGATAATTAACATACAAAGAAAAAACTCTTATTATTAGCTGTCATACTCAGTTTATGTTGAGGTAATACAGGTCTGTCCCTAATTGAAAAGTCATACATATTCTAGGCTAAAAGAAATGGCATTATCGCCAAGAATGAAAAGAAGTATATTTGACTAATTTTTTGTATATTTACTTTGAATTTTTCTATTTTATTAAAATTGAAAGGACATTTTTCCAGATCTTCCCTTAAATGAAGGGTTTATTTAATTACATTTCTGTGTCTACTATTCTTGATTTTAAAAAACTTTGTTCCACTGAGTATCAGTAAAGTAGCTGCATGAAAGGAAGTAAAACACCCAGAAATCAGTCAGGAAAAACATCGAATAATTTGGGTGAATGGAAGTAGTGTTGAAAATACATTATGCTAAAATGGGAATACATCCTAGAGGGACTACTAGAATTAAAATATATAGTGTGAGGATGCTAAATATTTGAATTTTCTAAATATGTTTCAACTTCTCAAAGGTGCCCAAGCTATGCAGAATCACAGAATCTAACATCTATACCATTGTTCCATCTCCTGAGTCTCTCAGAGGATCCAGAGCTGCAGTCTGTCCTTTTTGGACTGTTCCTGTCCATGTACCTCATCACAGTACTTGGGAACTTTCTCATTATCCTGGCTGTCATCTCTGACTCCCACCTCCATACTCCCATGTACTTCTTCCTCAGCAACCTCTCCATGGCTGACATTGGCTTCATTTCAACCACAGTCCCCAAAATGATTATGAACATGCAAACTCACAGCAATGTCATTTCCTATGTGGGCTGCCTCACACAGATGTCGTTTTTTCTGATTTTCATATGTATGGATGACCTGCTTCTGACTGCAATGGCCTATGACCGGTTTGTGGCCATCTGTTACCCCCTGCATTACTCAGTCATTATGAACCCTCACCTCTGTGGCATCTTTGTTTTGGGATCTTTTTTGTTTGGCCTATTGGACTCCCAGCTGCATAGTTTGCTTTTCTTGCAATTCCCCTACACCAAGAATGTGGAAATTTCTAATTTTTTCTGTGGCCCATCTGAACTTCTAAGCCTTGGATGTCCTGACACCTTCACCAGTAACATGGTCATGTATTTCATTGTTGCCATTTCTGGATTTCTTCCTGTTGCAGGGATCTTTTTCTCTTACTATAGAATTGTTTTATCCATTCTGAGGGTCCCATCACCAGGTGGGAAGTACAAAGCCTTCTCCACCTGTGGCTCCCATGTGTCTATTGTTTGCCTGTTTTATGGAACAGGACTTGGAGTGTACCTTAGCTCAGCTGTATCACATTCTCCCAGAAATGGTGCACTCGCTTCAGTGATGTACACGGTAGTCACCCCTATGCTGAATCCTTTCATCTACAGCCTGCGGAACCAGGATATCAAAAGAGCCCTATGGAAGATTTTTCATCACACCACTCTTTTCTGGTATCACAATATTTATTTGAGAGATACATTAGAATAGTATCAAAGGAGACCTTGATAAAAGGGAATTCTGGCTTCTGATTCACATTATTTTTGTAGATTGCATTCTCATGGCCGAGTGAAGGGTACCACACCCATGTGTGTACATGTTATAAATCTTTTTTAAAAGATGGCATGAAGTTGGAAGGGAGATATATTTGGGGTGTTCTGGGAAGTTTTTATTGTCATCTTGGAACAATCTAGAGTCACCTAGAAACAGGGATCCTCAACTAAAGAATTTCTTCCTTCAGATTGGCCTGTGGGCATGTTTTGTAAGAGCATTATCATGATTGATTATTAATAATTATTGATATTAGAAGGCATAGCCCATAGTGGACAACACCATCCCAAGGCGGATGATCCTAGATAATAAAATAAAGTTAGCTGATCATGGGTCTATATATGTGATCAAGCCAGAAAGTGGTATTCCTCCATGGGTTCTACTTCAAGTCCCTGCTTAAGTTCCTGCCTTGGCTTCCCTCAGTGATGGATTGTGGTCTGAAAATGTTGACCAAATGATAACTTTCCTCCCCAGGTGGCTTTTGCTCCCCAAGAGTGTTTTCTCATAGTAACAGAATGTATATAAATAAATGGAGAGCTTGGAGGGGGAGTATGGTGTTGATAGGTTTAAAAATACATGAAATTTGGCTGGAGACATGTTGAGGGAATATGGGGGTGAGTTGGAGTGGAAAATGGGGGTAGACATGATCATATTTCATTGTATGCATGTATAAAATTATCGATAATGAAGAAAAAAATTTTAAGATACTTTTTATATTTGTATAAATTTTCAGAGCATAAATAAATACAGTTTTTAAAATGTGTAGTGGTGGCTGGGTTGGTGGGAAGGATGAAAGAAGATTTTTTAAAATGGTAACAATCAGAAACTTGGGAAGGACAGGATTTGAGCATTGCGAGGAGTTGCTGAGCATTTCTTAACATGATGAAAATAATCTGTTCCTAAGAACTGTGTGCATAAGTGGTACAAAAGCACCTGTTTCTCTTGTACATATTTTATAAAACTATGTACAAGAAACAGGAATGAGAACTGGCAAGTTGACTCAGCTAGTAAAAGCACTTGCTGCCAAGTCTGACATCTTGAGTTTGAACTCTGGTCCTACCTGGAGGAACGAAAGAATCAATTTCTGCAAGTTGCCCTCTAACCTCCTCACATGTGGCACTGTGTGTGTGCAAACATGTACATGTACACAAATAGACATAATATTATAAATTCAATTTTAAAAAAGAAATGTAAATGATAGTAGGTGATTTTTTACAGAAGTAAAGCAAATTATACGTGTAATTACCCAGACTTCCCTGTTGAGTGTGAAGGGAACTTACTGGGTTCATTTTCTTCTTCCTACAGTTATGTAGGGAGACCTAGAGAATATTGGACAATTTGGTTGATTATAAACTCTGTGCATGCAGCTGATGAGTTCATATCATAAAGATTGGCTTTCCCTTCTTCACGTCAGCTGAGTAGATCAAGCCATGTTTGCTACAAACCTATTGATGCTCCTTGAATGGCTGTGCACATCAAGAAGTTCCTTTCTGAACATGTATTCATATCCACCCTAAGGAGTAGGCCTGAGCATTCACTCTGCACCTTGTAGGGGAGTTGATTTAGAAACAGAGTCTTTGGCCATTGCTATCTTAAGACATAGCTTAATATGCCAGATGGAGTAAGGATAATCTGTCAACAATAACATGACAGCTTGTTTATCCAGGTGACAGATCAATGGATAGATTTTAATTACAGATAGTGTGTTTTAATGTTCTTGGTTGTGCTTAAGGTAGTAGAACTCATTCAGACTTAGATTTCCACTGATAATTGTATTAAATTACAATGGATATTTCACTTATATTGGCAGGAGAAACTCCTTTCAAACTGTTTCCTAAACACCTGAAAAGAGTTGTGAAAGTGAAAATAAAGAATCACAGGAGGATGCAGAGGAAGATGCAGATAAGGACTCAGAAGAGGACAATTCAGAAGAGCTTTCAGAGGAGGATGGCAGCAAACATGGCATAAATGCTCTTCTCTGAGCTTTGTATTACCTCCTTCTTCCCTCATCTGCACAATCTGTCTCTAGCTATAATTTTCAATGTTATTAATAATTTTAAAAAATTAATGTCTATGCATTACATATAATTTATGCTATGCTATAAGATAGATATTAATAAAATTGTGTTCGATTACAGGCAGCAGTAATGATTTCAAAGAATCCTGGCAGCTGGTCTCATTTTTAGTTCACCCATTCATTTAAGGTTTTATTCATCCAAGGAAGAAGCCCCTTACTTTCTGGTCTTTTCTTTCTGGGTTCCTGTCTGATGGCAGAAGAGAGAAGTGACTAATGTCACTATCATTCAATATAGTAGTGACAGGTAACACAAGAAAATCATAGAAATCACAAATACACAAAGGTCCACTATATATCATTTTTCCACTCCAGGATACTCCTGAACATCCTCCTTTCTTGCTACCAGTCCACTGAATCTTGTTTATTTATGTGTCTGAATGTTTTTCTGCATATGTTAGTGCACTTGTGATGTACAATGCCAAAAGAGAGAGCTAGATCATTTGAAATCAGAATTAAAGATAGTTGTTAGCTCTCATTTGGGTGCTGGGAACTGAATCCAGGTTCTCTGCAAGAGCAGTCAGTGCTTGCAATCACCGAGTCATCTCTCCAGCCCAAGTCTACTCAGTCTTAAAAGGAGACCCATGTCAGGTCTTGGTTTCATTCTAAACAGGAAAAAAGACAATGTGAAAATGTACTTCATTTGATGAAGTGTTATGTTACTCTAGTAACATAATTGAATAATGGCAGAAGAATGAGAGGAAAATACAGACTAATTTTTGTAATGAATATAGATGTAAAAAGCAACAGTAAATTACATTCAACCTAAGTTCAACTTGATGGAAATCTCATCCACCATGAAAAACTTGTTTCTTTGCAGAGATACCAGAGTTAGGCAATTTATTGAAATTATTAAATATAACATGGGGAAAACTAGCCAGGCGTGGTGGTGCACGCCTTTAATCCCAGCACTCAGGAGGCAGAGGCAGTTGGATCTCTGTGAGTTCAAGGCCAGCCTTGAACATAGTGAGTTCCAGGACAGCTGGGACTACATGGAGACCCTGTCTCAAAAAGACCAAAAAATAATAATAATAACATAGGGGAAAACTATCTCAATGCATGCAGAAGCATCCCCTGATAGAATTCAATATCTGTTAATGACAAAAGTCTTAAATACTTCACAGGAACATAGCATGAGGCAATAAAAGCAATAATTGGTAAGTGTATAATCAATAATATAATAAATGAAAAAAGAAAGCATTCACTATAAAATCAAGAATAAGACATGAATGCCCTCTTGATGCACTGTTTTTTATAAAACAATTAAATAGTTAGACAGCACAAAAAAGTCAAGTTACTAGAATAGAAGTGATTCTAATAGAAAAGGAAGACCTCAATTTTTTGATGTCAGATAATATTGCCTTGCCCTTCAAACATAAAGACACCACTTGAAAGCTGATATACTAAACAACAACAACAAAAAAAAAAACTGGTAAAGTACAACCACAGGAAAAAAATGAAGGTGGAAAATAAGGAGTTTTATATATAATACAAACCTGCTGTATAAGAATTCAGGAAAAATAACTCAGTCAGAGGGTAGTCCACGAGACTCCCATAACACAAGCTATTGCCATAGCCCTTGATTATGTCCCAGAACTTGAAGGTAAGACCTTATTGCTGAAGACAGGACATGCTTCCGACACAGCATTTGGAGAAATGGAGCTGGAACTCACTGTAAGCCTCCTCCCTGAAGACTAGTTCTCATAGTTCTAGAGGATACTATGCAAGCTGCTAAAGGAGAAAAAAGAATCCGTGATCCAACCCATCTGTAAAGCCTAATAACCATAACAATGACTGGCACAACAAACTATAGTGATGCAGTAGTGGTATTTTTATCCTGGGGGTGATCAATCAACAACTATCTAATTGGACTTAAAGCCCTCTCAATGGGAGGGAACTCATGTGTGGCACTGTAAACATAACCAAGTACACATGACTGGAGAGGCCATAGATCCTAGTGAAAACCCTAACTCTTTCACATCCCTAGACAAATGTAATTTCTTAATGTATGCTAAAGTGGATCCTTATATTTAAAGACAAGTATACTACTCGCCACTCATCAAAGTAGCAGTTGGTGACTATTTCACATTTCAATTTCTATTCTATTTCTATTACATATTATACATATTATTAAATATTTCCATAACTGGTCACACAGAGAAAATAAGCGTCTGAGAGATACCCAACCCTAAGTGGCACATCTTCAGTGGAACCTCTACATCTAAGGCTCATGGAACATAGTGGAACAGGTGGTAGGGAAAATATTAATGCATCCCTCAACTCTCACCAACTAAACTTCCTCATGCAATAGAGGGTGATGCACACAGAAGGCCACAATCATTCAAACTGTGGAGAATAAGAAACTATAGCATACATAGCCCTGGATAGGACTCCTATATTATACTTCACCCACTGATGTCTCAGGGACTATTGCTGAAGAGGGGGCAGAAAGGTTGTAAGAGCCAGGATTGTTGCATGAACCTAGGAAAGAGAGTCTTCCAAGCCTCTGGAAACTTGCTTATATGAACTTTCAGCAATGGTGACAGAATGCACAAGTTCCATGCAGACAAAAACTCAGCATAGAACAGAGTGACTAGGCAGCAGAACCCAACCTTAGCCAAGGAACTATTGACAACTGATTATTGATGGGTGAGGGAGACTTGATACTCTTTAAGGGAATATCTAAACTCTAAATAGGGTGACTAAACTTCAGTGGATGAACTTACACCAAAGGACATCTGGATACAAAAGCTTGAATGGATGTGTTTTAAAATATATGACAGAATGCATGAAATCTGATGGGCAGACTATGGGGAGGGGTGCAGATAGAGGAGGGGATCTAAATATGATTAAGATGCATTGTATG